TCTGCTCTGTCTAGGGTCTGTTCTAAATGTTTTCCATGCATTTAATCCTTACAATAATCCTTTGAAGTAGAGGGTCATTATTATTACCATCTTCTTCATTTCATAGAAAGAGAAACTGAGAGTTAGAGAGGTTAATGAGGGTTAGAGAACATGCAGTTAGCAAGTCTTAGGTTTCCAACTACCCCACTGTCAGTTAAGAAAATCCCACCAGCATTTGCTCTGTACTTTTATAGAACACATCCATGAAGCAAGAGACTGAGCCCAGTGCTCTGTAGCTGCACTGATCATTACAATAGCTGCTGGCCATGCTTGGTTATTGAGTATTCATAATGTGCTTAGTCTGAATTGAGACATTATATAAGTATAGAATCAACACTGGATTTTGAAGGCTTAGAATAAGATAAAGAATGTAAAATATCCTATGAATATTTTGCTGTTCATTACATGTTGAAATGATAAATATTTTAGGTATATCAAGTTAAACAAAGTACAGCATTAAAATTAATTTCTCCTGTTTCTTTCTCCATTTTTAAAAATATGACTTCTGGAGTTTTAGACTTGTTTAAATAAGAAGCTTTATTAAGTGCATCACCTCCAAGAGGCCAGTTTCTTCCTTCCTGAAGTCTTTTAAGGGCTTCCTCCTTAATTAAAATAAAAATTAGTGACATGTGGTTTAGTGTCCTCAAAGAGCTCACACAGCTTCAAACAAGTTTATTTAAATCAGGGAAACAATCATGTTTCATCATGCCCTTGTAAAACTGCCTTTGTTCATGCAAATATTTCTTGGCAAAGTTCCAAAGTTACTCTTTTTCCCACATTACATAGTTGCCTTTAATCTTTTTTACCATTAATATTAAAAAAATATTTTAAAAAGGAAATTAGAGTTAAGAAGAGAGACCAAAAGTGATGTGAGGAAGCAAACAGCAGAACCCACGGAGACATTTTTGCAGTGCAGCTTGGGAAGAGAAATGAAAACAAGGCAAAATATATCAGGATCTTGAGGCTGCTGCATTCTTGCCCTTGGGAAAGAGGGAGGTGGGGAAGGAGCTGTCAGAGACAGTTTAGAACTTTCCCCTGCAGCTCAGATGTAATGGGAGTGGAAGTACCCAGGGGCAGAGTCCAAATCACATAACCATGTGTGTGAAGAAATAACTGCAGCAGGCATTAATGTTTCTCCTTGTACTTTAGATTTCAAAATAATTTTTAAATGTACGTCAAAGATTCTCCTCTAATAACACCTAACATTTATGGGCACTTAGAATATGCCAAGCCTTTCATGTATGTAATTCATCTAACCTTCCCAATGATGCCAGGAGGAAACTGAGGCATAGAGATGCCAAGTAATTAGTCAGTTAGTCGTTAGTCCATGATGGAGAGAGAATTAGAGTCCAACCTTCAGGGACCATGGTATAGACATCAGAATTCAGCCTTTAGCCACTGAATGTACTGCTTCACCCAGGGCTCTCAACTGAGTTATTCTGTCTCTTCTAGGCCATGATGAATCAGAGTCCAGAGCTAACACTTCCATATTATCTAACATATATTATCTGACTTTATAAGTTATAATTAATTCAGTTTTTCAAAAACTAAGTCAACCAAGGGCAATTTTTAAACAATGTCGACAGTCTATAACCCTAGAAATTCATTTTAACAGTGATCAGAAAAGAGTGGAAGTCAGTAAAAGGCAGATTTAGCTTAGATTTTATCCCAGTGGAGCATTGTGAAAGAACTAAGAATTCTGTGAAGAAACTGGCTTTTGCTATAAGACATTAAAGGGTCTTAACGGTTTGCTTAAGGGTTACATGCAAATTTCATCCCTGACCCCACTGAGGAGTGTGAGTTCCCCTGCTATATCTTATCACCTTTCGGTTTCCTTCATACTTAAACTTTCGTTAAGTGTCTCTCAGTTTCTTTATTTGTAAAATTGAGGTAAACTTATAGAGTGTAAAGTTTAAACAGACTACACAAAATGCTTGAAATAATTCCTAACACATAACAGAAGCTCAATAAATGTTAGTAGGTATTATTATTATAGCATTTAACATAATAAAGTATTGCATATATTTTTAGCTCTTTTTATTCAGTTTATTTCAACAAGCAACAACTACAAAAATTTACTCATTTCTCCCATCCCCCACCAGTTTAACATAATAAATTATTGCATATTCTTTTGTGATCGTTCAAAGTTTGACTCCTCACTACTAGAATATAAACTTCCTGATGGCAACAGAATGAACCACTGTGGCATACGTCACAGTGACAAAGAATGTGTCTTCTTGTTTTCTGAAGTTTCAGCATAGCCATTGACTTGCTTTCACCAATAAAATATGAGCAAAATTGTCACTTCCAGGTGGAAGACTTAAATGCTGCACTTAACTCTCCTCCTCTCTCTCCCCCCATTTCAGTGAGTGTAGAAGCAGGTTTCGATATGGAATATAACACTGAGTCCTGATGTATAGGAGATCTACTCTGGGGAGTAACCTGGATCCACAGAAGACGATGATGAGTAATAAATAGACCATTATTGCTTAAGCCTCTGAGACTTTGGGGTGGTTTATTACAGCAGCATAACCCACCTACTTTGACTATCACAACCCATTCTATTTCCACAGCCTAGCATAAGGTCTGGTACCTGGTAAGTGATTATGTTTTCACTAAATTAATAAATCAAAAGTTTTCATCATTAATAAAAATGAATTATTTTAGTTAAAGAAATTCTTTTCAATTCTATTCTGTGTACAATTAAAAGCTTTGGAAATGTTAACTGATTCATATGTGGGGCTCACCATTCTTTAGCTACCAAACCATCATGATAGATATCAAAGACAGTCACACCTGCTTTGCACTAGTGAGGGACATCAGTAAAGTTTTGTTGAATTTCAATTGAATAATTTTTCTGTGAAGTGGAAAACTTTTATTTCTGTCATAGAGTTACTTACTTAAAATGCGCTAATCTAATAGCGTTAGTACCTTCTAGAACATGCCTGCAAAATTCCACCTGTGTGTGGTCCCTGCTCCTCCCCACCCCCACGCCCCCAACAGCCACCATCCAGAGGCAGAAATTCCTCACAATCACATAGAATACACTAGAACTAGGAAGGACCCGAAGGTCAAAAGCATTAAGAGAACTTGTTTAATAAATTGAATTTGCAGCTTTTCCTGGCCAGGGAGGAGGAAAGGGGGATGGGCATTTGGTAATAGTGTCTTCTACTTCTTATTTCAATGAGAATCAATAACACATTTACCAAGACAAAAGAAAAACTATGAGCTCGGTTGAATCTGGTTGTAAAAGCATGATAAGCTCTGCAAGTGGTAACGGTGGGGTCAGGCAGAGGAACTGATGTCATCACAGAGAAAGTCATGAGACCCAAAAGAGGGAGAAGATAAAACCAGAGACTCTGGCTGGTATATGAGAAAGAAGTCACAGAAGAAGAAAGGTGTTCTCCAGCTTTGAATGGACCTGAGCAAATCAGTTCTTTAGGAAGACTCCTTAATTCCTGTGGCACCCCAGCTCTAGTGACTAGGGGACTATCAGGCTCGTAATAACATAGATATTGGGACATGATCTGGCATCTGGCCCGGTAGAGGTGTGGAAGTAAGCAAGTCTAAAGTGATGAGGAGGATTAAGTGAAAGTCAGCTTTGATCTGTGTGAACACACAGAGCTTTGAAGAGGGAGTATAGTACAGGGATGATCCATGGTCCCTAGGCAGGCATCTTACCTCTACCATTAGCTAGTAATGGTTGAGCTTGAGCAAGTACTCAAATCTCTTGATGCTTTCATTTTCTCTCCCGACAATGAAACTATAATAGTGCCCACTCCAAATGATTGTTCTGATAACCTGACTTGGTTAACACCTGCATAACACAGTTATCCAACACACAGCAATTCTCAGCCTTTGCTATTATGGCCTTCAATTCTGGGATCCAGCTATGTGATCTTGAGCACATTACTTGTCTTCTCTTTGCCTTAGTTCTCTCATCTGTAAAATGGAATAATAATTCTTATGTCATAGGGTCGTTAGAAGACATCACCATACAACACCAAGTAGGGTGCCTGGTTCATAATTATCCTATGATCACTGTTACCTGACATCAGTACGATTTCTTCAAGTAAGAAGTTGAATGTGATAGCAGACATCCAGGCTCAGGCACCAGGAAATGCAGTGGGGTTGAGTATGTGTGAGGTTCTAATGTACACGTAGGAACATTTGGAGAAATGAAGGAAAAGGAAACCGTTCTCATACTTGGAAAGAAATGTGTATGTTCTCTTACAGTGGTGGAGTCTTGGTTCTTCGAGGCGACACCTAAGATGGCATATTGTTGTCATCACCTAAGATGACACGTGTTTAAAGGATAATAATTCATGTAAGAAAAGCGGAGATAAATTCCTGGGAGCAGAGATCTGCTGGCACTTCTTTGCATCCCCTTAGCCGCCCGCACAGTGCTAGCGGCCCCAAACATTTGCCGAACCCCGTCAGAACGTGGGTCTCGCGCCCTGACTGTCCAGTAGAGGCCGCCCTGGGCCGGGACTCCCGGGACCCGAGAGCTGGGAGAGGAAAGGCCAGGGGTGGCCTTGTCCTCGCCGCGGGGCCCGGGTG